TTATAATTTTTAATAAATTTTATAACTAATAATTAAAATGAGACACAATCTTTTATTACTAATTTTAATTTTTTATATTAAAATTTTAACAACTCCGATTGCAGGTCATGTTGCTTTTTAAATTTAATTTAAGAATAAAATAATAATTTTGTACCAATTAATTTGATAAACGTTATTTGTTTTATCTCTTATCTCATATAAGCAAATAACATAGGATATAAGTTTATTATTTTTTTGAATTTTAATTAAATATATCAATATATTTTAATAAATTAATTGTGGCACACATATTTTTACAATTTTTAATAAATTTTATAACAAATATTTAAAATGAAACACAATCTTTTATTACTAATTTAGATTAGTCATGATCTTTTCCTAATTTTAATTTTAGTTTTTACATATTAAAATTTTAACAATTTTTCAGCAGCAAACTCACTCACTGTATCCAGGTGCGCGACGTGGGTCAAATCCAAATTAAACCAGATAAAAAATTAATTTTTTTTTAAACAACTCCAATTTCAGGTCATATTTCTTGTTTAATTTAATTTAAGTGTAAAATAATTATATTTTACCAATTTATATGATAAACATCATTTGTTTTATCTCTAATCTCATATAAGTAAATAATATAGGATATAAGTTTATCGTTTTATAAATTTTAATAAAATAATTCAAGTTATATTAGTATTTTCACATAGTCTCTAATGTTAATCTGGTCCATTAAAATTCTATGTAAGCATAAATTGATTATGCAAAATCCTTTATTTTTGTTGATATTGTTTCTTGCCCTCGTTAAAGACAAAGGTATTTGGTCTTGGCTAGTGAGAAAGGTGCCTTGTCTATATCGTTAATCTTACTTGCTTCATTCAAGGATCGTAATTTCTTATATTTTATGTCGCATTTATTTTAGATTTTCTTCTGACTTTGTCGTCTTGATATTAGATATCATGTATGCTACTTCAAATGTATAAAAATTAATGTACTAGAAATCAATCACGTGTATAATATATAACGGTAAAATACAATAGAGAGTTTAATATTTTTTTTGTAAGTAAACCAATCGTCATGTCAATAAACACATATCTTCTAAAATATTAGAGAAATTATCATCCTTAATCTAAAAATGAGATAAATTTTATAACTTTTTCTTTTTATAGTGAGATAAATTTTATTTTATATTATTCTATAATGATATTTAATATATTAACTTGAGATAAAATATTTAATAATTTATATAACATAACATTAATATAATATGATACCGTATGATAGGTTTTTTAATTCTTAAATATGTATGAATATTCAACAATATCTGCTAATTTTAATTAATTAATTAATTAATTAATATGAATACGAGTAAGTATATTATCTGCTCACGTCCTCTTTCATTGACATTTTAGAACAGAATAGAAAATTTAATAGCAATAAAGATAAAATTTTATAAGAAAATTTGAAAGAAGAATAAAAATAAAGATCAACTTGGTATAAAAAATAAGAATCATATCAATGAAATGGATTATATAATTTTAAGAGATGTTAAGCGAATAAAGTTATATATGTCATTAGGATAAATTAATAAGCAAAAATAATTTATCGAGCTTAATGCTAACGTACTTGAAAACTTAAATTTCAATTAAAAATAAGTTAGAATGATCATAGTATTAAAAAACATTTTACGAATTCAAGTTGAGCAATTAATAAAAAAAAAAAACTAATCAAAGTTATTTATATTGATGTACTGTCAGTGATCTATAAATCTTATTTCTAGCAATGTTATTTTATTCTTAATATTACGTTTCTTTTATCTAATTAATTGCTCTAATAAGCCATTCTATCTTGTTTTGATAAATTACAATTAAAATTATTTCAAAATATGTTAACATTAACGCTTACATAACACTTCAATATATTTATTATGCTTAATTAAAAAAGATTATCAATGTTCCAAAAATATATCGTTCATCTCAACCCTTCATAAAATAATCTTAAAATTAATACTACAAATTAAGAGGGGATAATTCTTGTAATTCTAGAAAATTTGTTTAGATTAAATACTTTTGTCATTGACTCATAGTTAAATAAACTAAAAAAAAGTGTTATTTGAGGACTAATGCCTAATGTTCCGATAAATGTAAAATATTTGAAGTCGAATGTGTAAAATGTAGATTTAGATAAGTCCTTAAGTATCTAAAGATAAAGTATCTAAAATGAAATTGCTATAGATATTTCATGACTTTAGAAGAAAGATAGCTATAAAAAACGAGTATCTTGATCCAAAGCTATCTCAAGTTAATTAGATAAGTGTCCTAAAAAATGTTGCATGCATGTTTCTAAGAATAAAACCTCTAATATTTACAAAGTAACTCTAAAAAGGGTGGGAAAGTATGGAAAGGGAAAGGTAAGAGAAGATTTTTAGATGAGGTGCCTTATAAATGGAAATGTAACTTCAAGATTGCAAATTACGTGAAGGGCATATAAGATGTTGCTACACGATCTATTCTTACAAGTGAAAGTCTAAACGGAGGAACTTAATTAGAGTAGACAGAGGTCTAAGACTAGGTGAATACCATTGTTTCTTTTCTTGATAGTAGCAAGGAGTCTTAGCCAAACACTAGATAAAATAGTGGACTTAAAAGGTTTTTTTTATATGACACAAGGTTGGGTCACAAGCTTATGTGATTTTCCACCTACAATATGATACTCCAATCATATGCAAAGCAAAATTTAGTATTCCCTCCAATTTTTTTTATGTTTTATAAACTATTTTAGACTTGTTTATTAATTTTAAGTTTTGAAATTTTTTAAATTAAATTTTAATTTTATAAGTTTTGGTTTTTTTTTTTTGTAATTTTTAACTTTTACATTTTAATACTAAATCTTAAATTTAAACTACATGAATTAGTGCTCCTCAAACTAAACTTGTTTGGTAGATTAAAGAAGGGTTAAGATAAAAGAATGACTTGTTAAATACTGGGCTAAACTTATTTATTTAATTAAGCAAATAAATTCAAAGCTTAAAAAGTTATGCTCAATTATTTAAGTGAGTTAAGTTTAAACTTTTTGCAAGTTTGACATTATATATATATATATATATATATATATATATATATATATATATATATATATAATTTGTGTATATTATTTGTTTAGTTTTAAATTTCAACACAATAAGTAACCATAGTTTTTTTTAAAAGAAAAATATTATTTTTATTATAGTTTTTTTTAATCTTAAGTCATCTTTATGTAGATAAAATTATATTTTATTATCATTTTACTTTAACTTTTAGCCATAAAAAATATTCATTAAATATTAAATTAATAAAATTATTTAAAAGATTATAAACAAATTAATAAATTAAGTACAAACTTTTAATTAAATTTAAACTTAAAATTTGACTCGATTAAATAAATGAATTAAAATTGAATTTTTTTTTTCCTTAATCATGAGTCAACCTTGAGTTTTAAATACCTAATTTGACTTATATATACCTTAATGATAATGATATAGCAATGATGATGGCAATAACACAAGAAATTATGACCGTGAAGGTAAAGGTAAGAATGACAAAAATTAAGTTGTAACTACATTGGATAACATTATCAAATAAAATATGCAGACAGAAAAATTGGGGAAGCGTGGATTAATAACATAATCTTTTAGTTTAGCTTGTAAACGGAGATATACAATGTAAGTAAAAAAACACATGCTATGGCACAAACATATTCTCAAAATAGGGCCGGGGAAAGGTCATAAAAAGTGTTTTGGGAAGACACGAAGCTCTTGATTGGTCTAATTGATGGGTATTGATGCTATATATGGAGAAGGGGAGGGAATTTACAGAAATTTGGTTGATTAACACACTCAAAATGTCTTCGAACTGGGAAGGATACATGCATGATCCTTGGATGGGTGGAAGGGTTCTATTCATTCATTTTAATAGATTGTATAATATTGCTTCTAATAAGAAGGCAAAAGTTGCAGAATTTGGAAAACAAAAGGATAGAGAAAGGTTTTGGAAATGGCATTAGAGAAGGACTGTATAGGGAGTTGGAGTTATTTAATCGCCATCATGAAAGGTTGAAAACTGCAATATTGCATGAAAAGATGTTGCTAATGAAGTTCTATCAGGATCTTACCCAGTCAATATCAACTGTAACACTTAATAGCGTTCAATCGAACAAAACATTCAAGAAATTTCAGAATATGTTTGTGCCATTGAAGTTGAAACACTTTTACTTAGAATGTCACGACCAAAAACAAAAACATCAGAATTTATTGGCGGTTTCTTTTGGCAGTTCAAAGAAACCCTAACTTGATAATACATTTTCTAACAACCAGTAGAGTTATGCCACAATCAAGTTCTTCTAGCAGTTTATTTTTAATTTCTGATGGTTTTAAACAGCCACAATCATTGTTTTGTTTTCTTTTCCATTTGTTATATTTAAACCTATACTTTTTTGTCATCCATTTCCTTGCTTTTGATACACATTCCCTTTTCCTCCAAAATGAGCCCTACTCTCATTCCTGCGCTTTATAGCCTCGTTTCCTTTGCTTTCAAAGTTGATGCAAACTCATGTCCTCTTTCGTTCTATCTCTCATTTTCCTTGCTTGTGTTAATCTCTTGTTCCAATCTTTGATTTATTCTGTCGCTTTATCTCTGATCTTAAAATCTGTAAACTTTAACTTCATTTTATTAATGTTTTCCGATTTCTAATTCAATCTCTCTCGTGAAATATTCTAGTTGAACACAAATGATATCCACCAGTAATATTCACTTATTTATGAGAATAACATTTTACAAATAATATAACACACTCTACAAGACATTGATAAACACATTTTGAACACTCAATACATAGGAAGGATAAATTGAAGACGCATACAAACTCTTCAAACCATAGTTAACACGGATTATTTAGACAAACACTTAATTAACCTCAAGCCAGATCCATTCTTTTATTTATTTGCTGTTTTTTTTCTTTGCTTTTGAAGCTAGCTAGGTCTTGATAAGATGAGCATCAACATCCTTGGTGACCTTAGCAACAAAATCCAGATACGCATATGGAGTTGGAACATTCTCATTGATCTTCTCATATTCGTAAGTCCATTTAGCAACAGCAGTGCCATCGTCCTTATCAACCACTTGCAAGTGGCCCTTTAAGATCTTGTACAATTTACCGACATCTCCAGCAAAGAGGTTGAATGTGAGTGATTTGTTCCGCGCATCAATCGCTTCAAAGTTCTCCTTACATGTTGTTACCTTACCATCTATTGTTTAACAAGCAACAAATGTGAACACAAAACCTATGACAATTAATTGTAATATGTTTCATGAATATGGGTATAATACTCATATGGATACACAGGTACAGAATACAACAACAATATTTACAAATTTAAACTACAAATACATAATTTTATATAATATAAATAAGAATATAAAATATTTATAGATTCTTGGGTTATGATAAGAAATTGTTATTTTTTAAAAAGATATCTAACTAACTAAAATCTTAATAAAGTCATATGTAGGCAACAAATAATTGTTTTTAAGAAAATTAATATACACTCACTTAATGTGTATAAGTAGCACTCTTAATTATCGAAACTGATTAAAAGCATAATTACCTACGGTATAAGTCCAGTTCTTAACAGAACCAATGCTATGCCAGTCACCTTGATGCACATTGGCCTCATGTACTGATTCAGCAACGTTTTGAACAAGGTGAAGTTGCTTCATAAAAAGATTGAAGAACTTAGCAGCTGTTGTTTGGATGACAAGTTCAGTACTCACTTTACCTGTTAGAGCCATCTCAGAAGAACTAAAGAACTATAGTGAATGTTTTTAAACCTGAGAAGGGATACGGAAGTTTGTGCATCCTATTGGCCTTATATAGAAAATGGGTTACCTACTATTGAAGGAATTTTGCACAGCATAAAATTTACCTTGAATTAGAATTTTAAGTCAAGAAACTTTTCATTATCATTTTCCTGTCGATTGAAGTACTAGTATTCTAAAACTATCAAAATTTGACATCAACTTCGAAAAAAGTTATCTTGATTGCAAAAGAAAATTGAACTGCAATGTGAAATTTTTTTTTGTCAAATTGTATCGTTGAAATATAGTGTTTTGGCTTTGTGTGTGTGTGTATATATATATATATATTACATCTATCTGCATTTTAGAGTTCCTAAAAAATATGCCTATGCTATATTTTAAACCATAAAAATTGATTATTTATCTGCCAAAAAAGGTCTCCAAATTTGCTGAAGTACTAACAAGTTAATTTCTTCCTTTAGATGTATACACAAAAATTAATTTCTGAATTTTTGGTTGAGGGATTCATTTTCATCCTATCGAATTACAAAAGTTCAAGAACTATTTAGTATTCAACGAAACATCCAAGAGCATATACAATTAAGCCAAAGAAGTGTATAAGGCATATCCCTCAAAACCACACGTATATACTTTTTTTTTTTATTTATCATTTTTGTCTGAATCCATATCATGAGAATTAGGGACATTTAGAAGAATAGCTTATGAATACATTATAAAATGGTTTTGACTTTTATAATTTGTTTTAACAAATTATATGATCATATTTGTAAAATAAGCTATCATGCAAAAAAATTTATTGGATGAACATTTAAATAATATGCGTTTTCAACCTTAGATGTCAATCGCTATTTGATTATATTTTAATTAATATATCACCCTCTATAATATAGTTAGCTGATACTTTATGATTTAGTATTTATACATATAACCTATCCTATAAAACGTTCAGTTTAAATATTAAATTGATAATATTTAATTAAAGTATCTTTTTACTAAATTTAAAACATGATATTATTTCATAATAATTCTAATCGTATAGACATGTCTGTATACGTATATGTATTGCGTGTCTAAGTCATTTGGGAATTGAAAACAACTAATTTGTCTGAAAGTTTGTTCAGAGACACTTTGTTTATTATGTTTCTCAAAATCCGTATCTTTAGGATTAGATATGAAATCAAAATCATATTTTCGTCATCATAGTCATTTTGTGAATTGTTCCAATTAAATGACTAACACAATTATTGAATTCTTAGAAAAGTTAACAGATAGATCGCATTATTAAAACTTTGTTCATGATACACACGTGGAGTATATCTGATGAAAATAAAAAATAAAGAAAAGGACTACTTTTTCATGTACAAATATATCCGGGAAAATTGCGGCTCCTAATTTTTTATGTGTTTAGTTACATTTCTTGTGTGCAGGAGAATGCGCATTAATTGTTTATTCCTTATTCTAAGAAAAATGTTTGACATAACTGTTTTATTATAAGATTTTGGTAATAGATAATATCAAAGTGTGAAACTCAGCACACTAGTACTATTTAATTATTTTTATAAAATATGTTTATAAATTGTGAAATTAATCAATCTAATTATTTATTTAAATATTTTTATTAAGTATATAATTTAATAAAATAAATAAATTTATTAAATACTTTATCATATTATTTTATTTTGATAAATAATATATTTTTAAATTATAAGTAAATATCAAATTTTAGATAACATATTTATAAATGTCTAAATTGTATACAACTTAATGTACTTCAAGAAGATAATATAAGATGATTAAATAGTTAAATTAATTAATTTTACTTTCTATAAAATATTATTAAATAATGTAAATGTTTAATTTTGATACACAGTGTCAATAAATTTAGATTTTAAAAAAAATATTAATTAAAAAATTAGAAGTAAATTTTTTTATTTAAATTATATTAAATTAAAAATAATAAAGAGCTATATTTATTTTTACACATATATATTTAAAAAAATTATTTCTAATTTCTTAACCAATATCTTTAGAGCTTTTCTTAGTATTTTCCTTTATCATATATCATCATTATTTCAAATACTTATTTTAATATAATATTATATTTTAATGAATCATAGATTAAATGGAAGATTTTTTCCCAAGATATACCCAACATATTAATGCTTTAATTATAAGTTAGGATGTGCTAGGTAAAATTAGCAAATATATCAGGTAAAATATGAAAGTTAAAAAATTAATTGATTGAATTGAAAATATTTGGTAAAGTTAGCTGTTAGAATTATTAATAAAGGTAAAATGATAAATAAGAGCGTCATAATAAAGTAGATCAAATTTTAAAATTTAATATTTATATATTTTCAAAAATTATAATTTTCGTATTGTAACTTATTTAAAATCATTTATCATATTTAAGATAATAAATTCTAAAATTTACTCTTATTTATAAATATTTTATTATAAAAATAACTAATTTACTCAAAATCAATAGCTACAGATAAAAAAAAAAATACTGGTATAAGTAATGTTAAAAAAGTACTAATAACTATCTACGTCAAGTATTTTTTTCAACTGATATTATTTTTATTAAATAAACATTTAGCTAACAAAATAAGATTTCAACTAAATAACATGGAAACTATCTTATTGCAATCATATATAATTGTGCATGGTTTTAATGGTTATCGAGTGAAAATATTGCCCGACACAATGATATGGGAGTGGGTAAACCAAATGTAAGACAAGAAAAAAATATTGCAATAGAAAATATGATTTTTTAATATGTTTGATATGAGTGGATCGAATTAGATACGAAATGATCATTCATTCTTTATTTTTTTATTTTGATCTTTTAATTTTTAAATTAACATCAATTAAATGTATTTTTTCTGTTGATTATATTTAGTTAATTACTATTTTTATCTTTTTCTCTTAATTAATTGTCGTTATTCTTATCTTATCATCTTTTTCTTCTTTCTCTTTTTTTAATTTGATAAATGTGACTAGTTAAAAAACTTGTTTTTCTTTGAAATTTATATAGTATGAAAATAAAATAAGAATTTGAGAAACCAAATAAATTTTAAAAGGTAAAGGACCAGACTGAAAAATTGAAGACCATGTGAAGATATGATTGATTACATTATTGAGTGGGTACTAATAATGACTGTGATAGAATTATAACTGTGATTTTTCCTTAAAATAAAATAATGATAAAATAGTTAGCACATGTGTGTATAGGTGTGCAAATAAATTAAGTGATTAATTATTCAAGTTTGGTTAATTAAATGACTAGGTCATGCTTATTTGTTATTTTTTATTTTCTTTTCATATTTATTATTATTTATTAAAAATCAAACTTAATTATTTAAATGTTAATGAAATGTTTAATTCTATTAAATATTGTTATTGAAAGTGCCTTGCAGCAAGACCTTTGAAAAACTCAATTGTATATGTGAATTAGATTATTGTTTACTTGACATGTATTATTAATCATTTTTAGAGATACAATGGGTTATACTATAATTTTATCTTTAATAAAATGTTGATGCTTAAAAAAAACTTTTATTTATTATATTTACTTAAAAATTATTACTTTGATTATTATTGTTTTCTCTTTTTCTTTAAGATATTATGGAAATATCTTGTACAATGTATTTTGATTTTCCACGATATATGTTTTGAACAAATAATGGTAATCAGTTGCGATAGAACAGCCTTCTCTTGTTATAACCACTCCAACAATTGTTGGTCTTTGAGACACCAAAATCATCCAGAATCCCATAATATCTTGCCAAAACTATTTTGAAACATAAGTCACCACCTAAACTGCAAACTACCCCCAATTTCCAACTAAAATAAATAAAAAATAATTTATTTCTTTATCACCAATTATATTGTATATAAATTATAGATGAGAAACAATACCAACTTCGTTTTTCGAATTTTTAAAATGATTTAGTTTTTTAATGAATTTATTTTCATCAAGAACAGGTATGGTTCAAGTTTTGTCCAATCTTACCTTTTTTTCAACAAACACGTGTAGTTACTCTAATGTTAAGAATGGAATTGAAAAAATCGTGTTAGTTACTTTCTCAATATTGTGTCTCATCGAAAATTTCAAATGATTTTTTATGGAATTAAGAGGCTATTTAAATTACGAATTTTTTAGAAGATTTAACTTTTTAAAGTAAAAAATATGTAAAATGAAAAAGTAATTTATCTTTAATTTAAAGTTTTTTTTTTATAAAATATATAATGTGAATATAGTCGAATTTGTATGAATCCCTCAGTTAATATTGGCTTTTGACCCATTTAGATTATTAAATATAAGAGAAAATGATTTCAATAAAAAAATAATTTGTACAAAAAAATTATTAGGAAGAAAAATAACACAATTGAAGGAACCAAATTACGCATGAGAAATAATAAATAGTCAATGGTTTTGTATTTATACTCTAAGGATTCATCATTTGTTTCTTGTCAACGTTCTATTATATTTGTCCTTAACCAATATTCGATCAAACTTTGACCACATTCATCACAATTTAATATATATATATATATATATATATATATATATATATATATATATATATATATATATATAGTATAGTGAGTCCTTAAGATCTATTATGTGGAATTTATCAATAAAGTCTAACATAGTTGATAAATAATTGGATTTCTTAAGATGATGATACAAATTTAATTACTAACTGTATGTACGGAAAATATTTGTTGGTTAGAGACTAATAATTTCAGTAATTACTCCCTACTTAGAGAGAGAATAGTTCGATTGTTGACTAAAGGATACCCTCGGTGCATACAAAAACTAAATTATATGAAATTTAAATGTGCCAGTAGGAAATGGATAAAATTATTTTTCTAATAAAAGAAAAGCTAGATCAACTAAACTTTTTTTGTGTATTAAATTTATTATTCATACTATTAAAGCTTATATTAAATCAACAACTATTGTA